ATGTTATGTTCTTATAGAGAAGCATTTCTTCAACATTTTACTAGCAGTTAGAGTAGGAATAGATCACCTTAATCCAATCTGGGATTGAGCTGATTTGGGACCAGGTTTTAGGCTTTATGAGGGCTGCTTGTTTCTGGAGGATAGCCCTTCAAGGTAAATCATAGCCCTTCCTTCTTGAAGGCCTTTGATTCTAATTTTTATGTTCACTGCTCTGTGAATCTGTTGGTTGTTCTGCTAAGCTTCTCAGCTTCTTAACTTCTTTTTTCGTAGTTTCTCAGCTTCTCAGCCTCTGCTTACAAATTGGTAAATGCCATGATTTGAAAAGCGACTTAGATTCTTATACTCACTTCTCAGTAATTTCCTTCTCTTTGGAATCTTGGCCTCTCAAGTCCTGGGCTGCCCCAGAAATAAAGTCCCTAGTGTCTTTAAATAGTTGAGAAGCAGATTTTTGAAAACTTATATTCAGTAGTCTGAACTATTTTGTAATTTATCCAGCTTTTCTAGTGTTTTTGGTGGAAGGGTTGGGCTGATATTAGCTAGACCAGCAGACCTCTGCAGGTGTGGTCTGGGAACTCCTTGGGAAACCCCAAGGTCTATAAGTCAAATATGTTGGTGTTTGTACTAGTGTTACCAAAGCAATGATGGGTAAAGATGCTGGTAACTTAGTGTGAATCAAGGGAGTGGCATCAAACTATGCCAGTAGTCCTTGTAATCTTCATTATCATGAATTTGTAGTTTAAATACTAGTTTCCTTTGAAAATGTCCTTGAAGTGGCAAAAATTCCTAATTTTATTAAATTGTGATCCTTGAGTACATCTCTTTTTAATGTTTTGTGTGCTGAAATAGGAAGTATATATTAAGCACTTCTACTGCATACTGAAATACAATGGTTGTCTCATGGAAAAACACGTGTGGTTGAGTGGTGTGCTGAACTAGTTTGTTTGTTTGTTTGTTTGTTTGTTTCTTTCTTTCTTTTTTCTTCCTTTTCTTCCTTTTCTTCCTTTCTTCCTTTCTTCCTTTCTTCCTTTCTTCCTTTCTTCCTTTCTTTCTTTTTTCCTTCCTTCCTTCCTTCCTTCCTTCCTTCCTTCCTTCCTTCCTTCCTTCCTCCTTCCTTCCTTCCTTCCTTCCATGGATCGACATTTTTGCTTGAAAGAATGACAAATTATAGCTCTCAAAAAAATGAATGAAGTGAGCCTGTCCCTTCAAGACAACCGATGGTAGTCATTGTCAGTGATAAAAGTGGCAATGGATCAAGTGAGAAACAGATTTTTGAAAACTTATATTCAGTAGTCTGAACTTGATAGCTCCCCAATATTTAAAGACTTTTCTGATAAAATCGGTGATGTTAACTAATGTGATTTTTATACTATATAATAAGATATGTCAACATTTGAAGGATCTGTATAAAATAGTGTATCGGTATTTTCCAAATGACCAATTTATGATGTTATGAAGTTATGCATAGGAGAAAGATTCATTTAACATGTAAGATAGACCAATGGATTTTAACATAACAATATGAAAAATTCACTGAAATGGTTTCAGATTGCACATTGAAACTATTTTTTTAAAACTATGTCATTTGTCAAGATCTAGTGTAGCATCCAAGAAGAATATCTGCAATTTTATAAAAAGACTATTAAAGTACCCCTGTTTATTCCTATTACATATCTGTGCAAGACTAGATTTTCTTCATTTATTTCAAATGAAATAGCATATTCCAAAACTTAAATGCAGAAGCAAATATAGAATCCAGCTTTCTTTGATTAAGGCAGACAGAAAAAAAATTTAAATGTAGAACAATGCTTCTCACTATCTCCTTTGTTTTGGGAAAATAGATTTTTTAGTAAAATATTTATTTTACTATAAATGGTATTTTAAAGAATTTAATAAATAAATATTTGAAAAATTGTCAGTTTTAATTTCTAATATGGTAAATATTGATAGATGTTATTCCCTTAAACAAAACAAAAGTTCCTTGAGGTCTTCAAAACGTTTTAAGAATAAGAACCACTGAGATAGACTGTCATAGCTGGAACTATGTGCAGAAGAGGCCGGGATTACTAAAGCTTTCTTATCTATATCCTTTTTGGTCTTGGAGAATGCCCCAAATTTCAAAATATTTTGGCCATCGCTACATGACAATAAAGGAACAGATTGGTTAATTTTATAAATATGTCAGGCAGATTAAATATTATTCTTGTCTAAATTATCAGATGTCAGATTGCTTACTTTTTAATGTTGTATTTGATTATGTGATTATAGCTTTTGACTTGCTGATTATTGACTAAATACAGAAAGACAAATGGCATGAACACATATTTTATAAATATTGGAAATTCTTATCATGTAGTTGAGAAAGAAGAGACTGAAATGTGTTTAACCAGTCTTGCCATCCAACATCAGGATTCATTTTTGAGAGCTGCCTTGACTACAGTCTGTATTAGCCAAGATGGTGGTATTTAGTTAAGATGAAAACAAGGCTTTGGGTAGTTACAGAAACAACAATCAATAAGATCAGATTAAGTTTCTTAAAGCATTTCAGTTTTAGAAAGTTTTACAGAGACTCCAGAAATTCCATTCCCCACTATTAATGAATACAATCATTTCCCCCCCGGGAGAATATTCATATATCAGTAACCCACCCATGATTATAAAATAGCGAAAGGATAAGGTAGCTTTCTTCATAACATGTTCTACCAGACCATTCTTGTTTGTATATTTTACTCTTTTATAAATTTGTCCTTTTTAGAGTTAAGACTGTTCGTTTTCGTTTTGATTATTCTTTGATTGATTTTATGTGTGAAAAATCTTATCCCTGTACCAACGTTTAGTTTTTGAGGGTAAGGACTATACATATTTTATATCATCTGTGATATTCTATTAGTAGGTAGACTCTTGATGCTTCTTGAAGTTGAGATGCAGGAAATTCATTTCCTATCTACAAGTATTTGCTGAGAATTTACTGTGTATAAGATTCTGCATTAGGCACCGATAGATGCACATTTTGCTTTGACACCGAAGAAACTCGTGGCAAGGAAAGTTTGGAGGATACTTAGTTTTGAAGGAATCGTTCCCATGGCTATAGAATCTTTATAAAAGAAATAATTTTTGTTGAAAATTCCACCTTCTGTGAAATATATTAGAAAGGTGAGGAGGTTTAGCACAAGAATTGCAGAGTCGTCCTCAGTGTAGAAAGTTGTCAATCAGATTTTAAATAGTTCTGAAAGCAGAATTGATTTTGACCTCACACTTGAACTGGTGTTTGCTCTGGCAGCCAATGGGTCTGGTAGATATTGGTTTTTACATTAAGAGGCTTGAACCTTTCCCTTCTTGCCTTTGTTGTTCACAGACCCCAAACAAGGCTTATACCAGTGCTAGGCAGTTATACCAGGGAGCTCGATGAGGGAGTTTGGCTTTGAACTCAGGAATATATTAGAAAGCCAATGTTTCCACTGACTTTACTGAGTTTAAAAATATTCTCTGGGTATAAAATGTTTAAGTGCACTTAACACTGACTAAGCATGCTACTGTGCTATTATAGTGACATTTCTTGGTCCTGAGTTTGGATGTATAATCTGATAGATTTAAATAATGTATGTAATGAAAATATTTACTTAAAAAAAGTTTATAATGTGACGTAGTGGGCTAAGAGTGTGGGCTCTGAAGACACACTGCCCAGCTTTGTCACTTTCTAGCTGTGGCACCTTATTTACTCCCAGTGCTTAGAGCTCATTGCCTATAAAACAGGAAATAATAGAGCTGTTGGGAGGATTAGCTGAGTTAATGCTATAAAAGTCAGCTCATAAGAGTTGATTATTATTGTTTTTATTTCCGCTAGTAAATTAGTTCATATTTTAAGGTTTCAGTAATTAATCACAGAACTATCTTCTTCACCATCACAGAACTATCTTCTTCACCCACATGTTCAGTTTCTAGGCTGTATATGTTCTCTGTGGATTGAGTCTTAAGAATTTTGTAATTATGTTTTTCATGAAGGTGATATCTGCAGTGGTGAGAACTGTATTCCAAAAATGTTTCAGTTTTTGAGTGTCTATACCTGATCCATTATCTCCTGATATACTGCCATTGGCAACAACCAAGGCATGTCTGTTGTTAATTAATCACTTCCACTGAGAACAAAGTGTCTTCATTAGGATCCTTATTGAGTAGCAGGCAGCATCATCCTGAGCCAGCTGCAAGTTATTGGCTGGCTCCAGCAGCCCCTCTGGTCCTTTGAAAACTTAGACTGAGGAGGAAAACTGTTGTGCTTCTATTTGTTTTTTGTCCTCCTTAAAGAAAGCTGTGGGAGGTCATCAGTTGTTTGTGATGCTTCCATGTTCCATCGCACATGCAAAAGTAAGGGAAGACATCCACTCATAATGGATCGATCAGAAAACTAAGATAAATTATTGAATTTTTATAATTGTGCTAAACAAGCTAGAAACACATTGTTGTTGTTTGCAAGTGTTGAAAATTAGACCATGTATTCTGAATATGACAGAGTAATTCGTTTTTCTCTGAAAGTTAAAGTTCTTTCCTCTGGAGTCATTGTTTTTTAATATATGTATTTTTGAAATACTGCCAGATCATTACAGGTTGAAATCAGCACTCCATTTTCTTTCTCTTCATCCCTCAGGAAAATATGGGGAAATGAGGCAAAAATAGCATCATCTTGCCTTATTTTTCTATAGAAGTAGAAATTGGGTTGGAGGATGAGAGGCATGATCAAGGCACTCCCGAACAATATTTCTCGCAGACCTTTTGGATGGAATGTAACATTGCAACAATAAGATAAAAATAACTGCACCTAGGACTTCTACTTTATAGGAAGGGGAATCCCTTGAGTCAAGCTCCCAAATGAGGACAGGCATTGTGAAAGGGACCTACTTTACTTGAGCATATCTGCTTTATTCTTTTGACTATTATAGGCTTTTAGATGATTTAGGTCAATGTGAACTCGATGAAAGGATCAAAAAAATATATTTTGTATCCAACAGATTTGCTGCCGCCGCTGCTGCCCGGAGAAGTGGAGCAGGACGTAAGCATCGGTGTTCCCTCTTACATTCCTTCCATGGCCCAGCCTCCTACCCCTAGAGTAAAGCCGAGGCCCACGATGAAAGAAGCAGACAAACAAAGGGAAGAGGTACTCCACAGGGGATTTAATCTGTCTCAGAACTGCCTTGGTTTTATAACTCGTCCTTTCAGAGAGATGCTGCTCTGCCTGTGTGCTTTTGTGTTTTTCTCAGATTTGGGAAAATTTAGAAAGTTGCTTAACTGGGTCCCTCTCACTGCCATCTCTCTATAATGTGTGTATTTCTTTTTAAACACAAAGAGCAATTATGTTTTTATATGGAAATTGTTTTTGTCTCATGATGTACACTATGCTATAGGACAGTGCTACCTGGGGACTGCACCATAGAAAGGATGATATTTTTTTTATCTCTCTTAGTGTGAACTGGCCTTTTTTCTTTTTATTATTGTTTCTGAGGTCCTATAAACATCTTATATTAGTTAAAGTAAGACCAGGCTGCTATAGTAGAGAATATGAATAATAATTCAGTGGCTGGAGGAGATAGAAGTTTATTTTTCTCATGGAACACCCTGTGGAGGATCTTTAAGGGGTCACTGAAATTTCACTCTCCTTTAGGGCAGGGGTCCCCAAACCCTGGGCCACAGGCTGCTACCGGTACCAGTGCCAGTCAGTGGCTTGTTAGGAACTGGGCCGCACAACTGGACGTGAGTGATGGGTGAGCCAGCAAAGTTCCATCTGTATTTGCAGCCTCTCCCCAGCGC